AAAGCAATTCAAAGCGTTACGACCTTCATAACTCCCGGAGTCCTCATCTGTTCGTGGCGTTTTTGGGCTCGTTAGAATCAGCGCGTCGAGCTCTTTCCAACGAGACCCTAACCAAGTCGAGGAGTTAGGAATTGAGAAAGTTATGAGGGATTCACTCTTCCGCCGAATGCACTCTCCCGCATCGCCGAAGGCGTTGACCCGAAGGCGCATTTCTAGGGCCGAAGGTGGATTTCCCGCCGACGCCGAAGCGCCTACGCGTAAGCGGACTTCTCTCGCCGAAGGCGCATCTTCCGGCGGTTATTCCGCCGAAGGCGTACCGCCAAAGTCGCTCTACCGCCGAAGGCCCCCCATCAGTAACTTTTGACACTCATAACTCAATGACCTCTCATCCGTTTCACAAGTTCTTGAGCTCGTTAGAACCAGAGCGTCGAGCTCTTTCCAACAAGACCCAAAGCAATTCAAAGCGTTACGAATTGAGAAAGTTATGAGTGATCTACCGCCGAAGGTGCTCGAAGCGGATCATGTAGCATGAACCGCCCGTTCCGTCCCAAGCGTCCCACTGTGGCCTAAGCCCAAAACCCCTTGACTGTCCTCGATCCTCTTTTTACTCTGGTTTCGCGTACCGATTACTATTTACAGCTGCTGTCGCGGTACTTACTATTCAAAAATGTTTTAGTTCCGACAAAAAACAAAAAGTGGGTTACCACACGAAGGCGCACCGCCGAAGGCGTAGTCTAGTAACTAGGTCGTTTTCCACCGACGAAGTAGTTCCGTAATACATGCTTCGTACGTCTTCAGCGAAAGCTCATCCGCCAAGGAGCGTGAGCCGAAGGCGCTTGCTTCTACTTGCGCCGAAGGCGCTTCAGCTGAAGGCTCCTCAGCAAAGGAGATTTTGCCGAAGGCGAGTCCTTCAGCATGAACCGTCCGTTCTGTCCTAGGCGTCCGGCCATGGCCTAAGCCCCAAAACCCCTAGACCCCGAGATTCTCTTTTTACTCTATTTTCACGTACCGATTACTATTTACAACTGCTACCGCGGTACTTATCTTTCAAAAAATGTTTAAACTCCCACAAAAAACAAAAACTGGGTTTATTTATGCACAAATTTCTTTATCCCAAACACCATATGATAAATACCTAATATACTCTTGGAATAATCTAAATGTTTGATTTAAATGCACACCAGAGTACTGCAATGGGTATGGTATTGGATAACCATACCCATGGTTATCCAATACCCACCCATGGGTATATGGATAGATAATGGGTAGAGGCTTGTACTCATGGGTGTATAATTGTATTTCATCCGAAGCCGACTCGTGTGGAGGAGGTGGAATTGAAATCGGAAGATTGCATGGGTTGGGTGGGTGGATAAAGTCGACTCGCGTAGCTGTGGGTCCGATATGGGTATAATCTTCAAAACAATGCAGGACTCTGATGCACACTCGATTCTACGCTGCAATTTTATTTTACCAACATGAACATGTAGTCTTACATTAATAAAATAATGATATTTCAAATTAAGAAAATTCATTTTTTCCATATATATATTTAAATCATATACATTTTATAAAAATCTTTGTGATTCATGAACTCAATGAAGAGTGCATAACACTTGGAAATATATTTCAATTCATATAGTAATTTTAGTGTTTTAAACATCATCGTATTTTGAAATTTTTTTCAAAATCATGGGTTTTTTTATGCAAATTTTATTATTTTAAAAATCATAGAAAAAAAAATTTTGTTTCATCTATCTGTATCATATTTTAACTAAATATTGCAACATGTGAATCTATTAATTTGTTGTAGTGCACGCCGTTCTCTCTAGTGCAAATTCCTAATTATCAATCTAAATTTAGATATAATATTTTTATCATCTGCTAAATTGACTTTTAACTTGTATATCCATTTACTATTAATCAGAAGTTTGATATTTGAAAACTTCACTAGTTCATCCGTTTTTTTGTCAATTAAAAATTGCATCTCAGTTAACTTCACAAATACACACATGAGCTAATCTATAAGAATAATATTTTTACTCTTCTAATAGTCATGCACTTCATCATTTTTTAAATTTTAATAACACAAAAAATGGCTGAATCAAATTCACGAGAAGAGATTTTACTTGATCAATATGAGGATTTTGAAAAAATATATTTTTATATATATTTATTTCATAAAAATATACATTTATACTGAAAATCTCAGTGAATAATACATAATTTAACTTTTCAATTAATTTTCAATAATTCATTTTGGAACATTGCCCAAAAACTATTCTTAAATTTAATCCTCGATTGGAATCTAACTCTAGATCTATTTGATTGCTAGATTAGTTGTGTAGATTTTTTCATTTTTTAAATATGACTATAGTCAAGTCACGTTTGATTAACTTGATAACAAAGTTTAAGGAACTAATTTTATCAATTAAAAAAATTAGCTCTTTAAAATCATCAATGTCATCTTGTTTCTTTGCGATACAATTATTATCTATAATATTTAATTTTCTTAAAAAATTGGATGATAACTATGTGCAATGAAATGATATTCAAAATGAACAACAAAAAAGCATACTCATCATACTCATTCATATTTTTTGAAAATTTCAATTATAAGTATAATTTGATGATATTCATAGCATATTCTTGAATTTTTATTCTGTTGATTGTACTTGAAAATGAAGAATTTAGTTTTCAACAACATTTTGAATTTTGAATTTGATTTTGACTTGAATTTATCAAAACAATAATCATCATGTACATCGTAACTGATTATGTTGCATCAGTCATCTCATTTAATTTCAGCAGGATATTATTCATAAAGAAGTCTATTTAAATGATCACTCTCGTCCATTCATATTACAAAATAATTACAAATTTTATGAAATATTATAAATCATATGAATCTGTGAAAAAATGAAAAATCAAATTTCAGATAGATACTTTTTAAAAATTTTATAACAAGACTATTACATTTGAGAAATAACGGAAATCACTAACAAGAAAAATTTCAATATAACAATATAGTTTTTTTAAAAAATAAAAAAATACAATTCTCGTTAGAAATATTCTTGTAAAAGCCGTACCTAAGTGTTGCCTAATTTTGTACATCAAATATTGACAACCTCTTGGACATCGCTTTGAGGGTAAATCTCCAGCATGACACAGGCACTAAGGAGAACATCTAGCAACAGCCGCTTACTTGCAGGGAACTCTCCTTTTCTTGTTTTTGGGCTATTACAAAGACTTACAACTCCCATTTTACTGGAGAACATCAGACGAGGAGTATGTACACTTCCTGTCGAGACCTGAAACAGATAGAAAGCTTCTTTCCACACATCATGGCCTCCTCGACGTTCTCCCGTGGCCTTCAAATACCATCAATAATGTTCAGCCGTCAAATTCACAGAAACTGACCATTTTGGTCATCACTCTTCCTCTTGGGGTCACGTTATTGTTAAGAGATAGTAAACTGATGAAAGGTGAATCGGCTTCGAAACCTGCGGAATGTATGTTGAAGGATGCGTGTGGGGTGGAGAAACACTCCATTATTTGTGGTTTTTTCGATAATCTACCACAGAAGGTATATTATTATATAGAGAGCACTTCTCATATACACCGCTTAGAGCACTCAAATACAGCTTCACTAAGCCCTCGGGAAGATCTTCTTAGCAGAGGATTTGGAAAGAATGCTTCGACCACATAGACGGGGCTAAAGACTTTACCCCGTACACTTTAGCTAAGTGTACCTGCTGATGCAGCCTCGACGCACCTCAGTCCTGCTAAGTGAACATTACGATTCTATACGAGACAAAGGCTCAAATCCTCACAGCCAGAGAATTCTGATATTGGACGCGCGATAGCTATATCCAGAAAACGGAACCTCCTCAATGCCCACCTCCTACCTGGACCTGTAAATCACCATCGATAAGCCGCTCACCAGAAGATGATCACGAGTCGGCAGATCGAATTCCCAGAGCCTACGCGAAGAGAATCCGAAAGAATCCAAAATCAATCCTTTCTGTTCTCTGGAATTCCCACGTTATACTCTTGCTCCCTCCGCTTCCGTCGCCGCTGCAACCGAAGCCGACATTGTTCCGTGGCCCCGACGATTACGCACCGAGCAGATGCGCATCCACCAATCAACAAGCTGTCAAGCCGACGCCCCTGCGTTGTTGCGCTTGAGTCTTAGATATCTAACTCTCCATCTTGAAATTCTCTCATTCAACTAATGCCACTGCATGTACAAGGAAACTGTAGGAAAATTGAAGAGCACAGGTTTGAAAGCTTTCTCTCGAAGTCAAATAAGAATAAACTCTACATGATGCTGGTGTATACAAGGTGATAAATCTTGTTACCATATGCCGGTTAAGCATAGCATTGGTTCTAAAGACTATTACTGAACACTGTACCAGGACCAACGTCGAACTGGGAAACTCATAATCTCTGAACAGAATGAGGGACGCCCCATCTTCTAGAACTCATCATGTGATCGAGGCTGAGGACAAGCACTTTTGATCTACTCTTGAACATTTTGTACAATTCAGCATGTCTCTCTATGTGCTATGGTGCCTAAGCAAATTATCCTAAGAAGGTAGATCACGCACACCCTCCAAATTCTGGAGTGCTTGTCCTGATAGACTTTTGAATCACAGACGTTTGTATATCTTACGAAAGCGCTCTAAAATTTTGAACGAACATGGAAGAACAGTTGAAAAGTAGAGAATCACGCCGGCACAGGTCTCGAGTGGAATCTGGAACGTTCGCCTTGGCTTGTCGGCCATGTGATGCCGATCGGATTATTCAGTTCGAATGTGCATTTGAAGATCATAATGCTCGTTCGAGAAGAGGACTTTTCTCGCCCCGTAAAAACCCGACAACAATTCCCAACAGTAACTTCTAAAATATATCCGTCGCGTCAAATGTACCTAAATCCAATGAAGCGAATCAGCTCGTAGGCGCCCTGTGGCGGATGAGCTGACTGGATTTTAGCGGTCACCTGCTTTCGAATTCCATGGCTTGCGGCCTCGCTCATGGCGCCATATATGTGCACGAGAAGGACCGATTCCGAAAAGTTCACTTATCGAAATAAACTCTCGAATTTTTCTGGAATTCTGATTTTGTCTGGAATTCTGTGATGCTGAGGTTCTAAACACCGATCGACCTACGCTGTTGATGAAGAAGCAAGTATTCATCCGTCGGTGGGAGGCTCACAGACTGCAGTTCTGATGGCGTATAAGAGCCGCGAGGAGGAAGAAAGGGCGGAAGTGGAGATCTGGAGTCAGCTTGACGTAGATGGTAGACTCTTGGGAATGATCCTGGCTCGCCTGCCCGTGCCAAAGTTGCTCCAGTTTAGGACAGTTTGCAAAGACTGGAAATGTCTCATTGATTCTTCGTATTTTTCTGAGATTAGACGCCAGGTTCCGAGTTGCGTGAAGGTAAATTTTCTGGTCTTGGAACTTCGTTATCCTCAGGGTTATGTCGATCAATTTGATCGCCTCCCCATTTGTCCTCAATACTGTGCAGTCAATATAAACTGTAAAAACTTGCGCATGTATAACCCTGTTCTCGATACTTGGTACACAGGTCCGTCTTCGTTCCTCACATCCACAGGGCATAAACTCTATTTACAATCATATCATAAGGATTATCAACTGTTGTACGTCGTATTAGAAAATGAACGAGAGGGATCCGGTCTCTTGGTGTGCAGACCAACCTCAGGCTCTATATCAGAGAGATCTTTGAACTCTGATCGCTTGATTGCTATGCCAAGATTATTAGGGCTACTATCATTAGTGGTGGACGAGGAAACCTCCAGCTTCAGGTTGATCTCTGTAGCGTTACATTGCAGTGAGATTGCATGCCCTTGCAAGGAAACCCTGTGCTGTCACACTGAAATCCTTGATTCTGAATCTAACGAGTGGAAAGCAGGACCTTGTTTCAATACAAACTTGAAGGTAATACCTGCTGAACAGCTTATCGCGATCCCCACTGTAATTGGCCACTGCGTTTACTACTTTCTGGGTTGCCGCCGCCTTGAAGAACGGATTTACAGTCCTGATTCACCTGCAGAAATTGAGGACCTCGATTGTTCTGCCGTGTGGAATGAGTTTCACATCTCATTTGACTGGAAGAAGAGTTCTTGGACTAAAGTTGCGGGTAATCTGCCTCATGGATTGTCAACTCATTTCGGCGTCATCACTTTCGAACGAAATGGATCAATCGTACTTGCGGACCTTACCCGCACTGATGATTCTGCCTGGAAAGAGTCTCTAGGATTGAAACTTAGACTCAATTCCTGGAATCCTTCAGTCAACCCTGACTCTATCACTTGGACAGAGATTCCAGTGTCTGTGCTTCCCAAAGACGAAGACTTTCAAGAGCTCTTTTCTGATCAGGAAGGAATCAGTTATGCAGGTTGTTGGCGTGGGCACGAAGACCATCTCATTTTCTTCTCTGGGGTTTTGTGGTCTCATCGGGCTTTGGTGTACAATATAACAAGTAAGGAGTGGATACTTTCAGAGTTTGGCCCCAAAACCTCAACCTCAATAGAACGGTTCCTGTCATTGCCGGTAGAAATAAGATAATAGAAATCTTATCTTCCGTGTTCACGTAAAAGTAGTTCATATCCTCACTGTACAACCGTAGAGTAGTCGTCAAACAGAATTGTGAAACAGAAACAGAAGTAGATGCAAGAGGCTTTAGTCCTCCACGTACATTTACACTAGATTGTGATTTTCTAAGGAACTACTATTGAGTACTAAATTCGAAATCTGGAGGTGTGATTGGTACATTCACATGCCAATCATCATCAGCTGATCAACTATTGCAGCCACCTTCGTGGAATTCCTTTATTTCAATGGTTCCAATTCTGATCTATTTCTTCGTGCGGTTTATATCATTCTTCGTAGAATTCTTGGAGACAGTTCGCGCGTAATCTGCCGCATGGATTGACAACATGTCACAACATCAATATTGTCGAACGGATTGGTTCAATCGTAATTGCGGACCTTCCTCGGACTGATGATTCTGCCTGGAGAACGTCTCTAGGATTGAGACCTAGACTATTTCAACTAGCCCTGACTCCATCATCTGGACAGAGATTCCAGTGTTTGTGCTTCCCAAAGACGAAGACTTTCAAGAGCTCTTTTCTTTTCAGAGTGGAAGTAGTTATGCAGGATGTTGGGGTGGGCAAGGACACCTTTTTTTTTCTCTTCTCTGGGTTGTTGTGGTCTTGTCGAGCTTTGGTGTACAATCTGATCTGTAGGGAGTGAACAGTTACGGAGATTGGTCCAAATAACTCAAGCCCATCAAGACAGTCCATTCCAATGCCGATGGAAATAAGCTTGAAATTTTAGCTTCTGTCTTCATGTAAAAGCAGTTCTTTCTCACTGTATATCCATGGAAGAGTCTCTGAACAAAACTTTGAAACATAAACAGAAGTAGGCAGTCCACTTAGCTCTAGTCCTTCGCATACATTGACTAAGTTGTGATTTTTTACTAATCTACGATCCAAGACTAAATTTTGTAGTTTATGGGCTTGAAAGACAAAAAATGAGCTACTTTCTAAATAATCATGTTATTACAAAATATGTCCAAATTTTGTGCAGCAAGAGAGTTCAAATCCATCATGTCACCTAATTGATTCTACGCTCTTACTCAATATGCAACATGCACCCCTTAGTTGTTTCTACTACTACATATAGATGAAATTCCTTAGTTCTCAAAGCCATATCCATATGTGACCTCCGATTTTCTTTCTCCCCAACCAAAACAACGTCTTCAGATTTACATTATTTTTGTAAAAAAATCCTCAAAGTCTGCTTCATTTTTGAAGTAATGCATCATAACGAATCTAGCTTCAATTTTTGGTTATGAAAATTGTCACCACTCCAGCTGATAATGATAAAATATGACGTGTGTCATTTCAGTACAAAATTGTTTTGCAACTTGACAATACTCTTGTCAGTTAGCCTCCTTCTTGTTAAAAAAGCTTCAAAAGGATTTAGATTTCCAACTATTGGGGCTCCATATGTCATGCACGTATTCAAAACAATTATTGTGACAAAAATCTCGAAGTGTCATTACAAATACAAGACAATAGTAATCTACATGCTAATTATTCAAAGTTTTTGAAAGTTACATCTCAAACTTAAGACTGGTAATTTGTTATGCTGAACGTATGTGTACCGAATTACCGCAAAAAATGGTGGAAGATTGAATTTGCTGTGAATTGGAACAGCTTCAATATAAAGTAGTCTTGATGAAGTCATCTCATTAGTAAATATCCTTATTACGACTACATGGCGGATAGAGTCACGCCCAATCACTCTTCCAGGTAAAAAACGGATTCTTGTATTGCTATATCTGAAGGATTAAAAAGGAGATGAGTTCAAGATGAGTTCCCACCTTTTTTTAGTTTTTGTTGTTCATTTCATAATTATGCGTAGATATCACAATGTAGACGTGATCTTGGCAAGTAGACATGTCCTTACCCTGATCATGTCTTGATGATGTCTTCCCATCTTATTTGTTGTTTACCTGGGTTCCCCTTACATTACCTCTTCAAGGCCTCAGATGATGTTGAGGTGGCGTCGAGACAAGAAACGAGTTCGAGTAAGTCAAATCAAAATATAATGTTGTGAAGACTGTGAGTCAAGTCTTGAAACATAATCTCCAGATTCAGTAAGATATGACTAAAGATAGGGTAATGCACACAAATATGACGTACTTTCAATTCCAATATCAACAAAAATTCGAAGCAAAAAAACTCTACGTTACTAGAAGGCATAGTCTTACTCTATATAATTTCACACTTGGCAAGTATAAATTCCATGCAACCTGTAAACTCCAAGCGATTCTAACGTACCCAGCAATGTGAAATTCAGTTTAGAAGCTCACAATACTAGTCATGAAGTAAGAATGTATCTATAACTAGGTACACTTAAATTTATGTACCTACATAGATACCGTGTGACTTCTCATTTAAAGTTGGCATTAAAGAAATACATGTATTTGATCAATATGGTTCAGTTGAATCCAAATTGCCATTGATGAGAATACGCGTATTTTCCAGGTAAAGAAAGGGGTCGTGTGAGGAAGGACGAAAAAAGACTTTGAACTATTGTGCACTCAGATCTAAAATAAGATAATGTGATCTGCATGAGAATCATTGTAAATCTAAATCCTCGAGCTATACCACGAGGCTCTTGGTACTGTTGAACTACAGTGCAACAATTGTCTTCATATACTTGGAATCTCTTCAAATATCGTAAAATTGGATTCATCAGTTTTTAAGAGATATATTGCTGTGCACCATTCAATGTTTCTTAATCTCGATCATTGAAATTCTAGTTTCCAACCAATGATGACTCAAATGATGTTCTATGTCTTAAAATTGAAGGAGAGATCTCGTCTCATGTACCTCAATATTCTCTTTAGATTCTCTAAGAATACAAAATAGAAATCAGATTCAATCACTCTTTTGAAACAAGTTGTACTGTGAAGTTAAACCATAAAGCTCTTGGTTGTTTTATACAACAGAGCAACATTTATCTTCATCTGCTTTGGGTCTCTGATATCACCATACCACGCAATATTCATAGTTGTAAGGAAAGAAAGGGCAATCATGTTCCCAAGACAGCTGCTTTGATTTTCTTATACAACCAAAAGATGTACACTTAATGTGTTGAAGAGAAAGAAAGGGTGATTCTGTGTCTAAGACAGTTGCTTTCAATTCCCGAGACCACCAAACGATGCAAAATCGATGTCTCGAAGACAAGACAAGGGCAATACTGCTTCTAAGCACTTGCTTTGAATTCCTGATACCATGGTTTGATGGATTCAGAATTAAGCGATGTACTGGGGAAATAAATGACTTTGTGTGAAACATTTCCCATAGCTGATACAGTCCCTGTAATACCACATAGTCTGAAGAAGTCAAGGAGCAAGAAGCATGTTGTCAGCAAATCAAGGCATCAAAAGCAGAAACCAAGTGCTAAACTGTTCACCAAGTGACAGAAACGCTTGAGAGCTAATGACAGGGCTAAGTTGTTTTGATGAAACCCGACGCAGGTAAACCAAAATTCTTACATTTACGCTGGAGTTTGCTAAATCAGTTCAGTATTGTATCATTCAGCCCGCCTTTCGCTTGTGAGCAGGCAGGTAACTCTCAAGCTGTCAAGTCTGTAGATTTTCGGTGGGCGAATATCTGGGATTGTCAATCAAATCAACGCCACAAAAGCTCGAAGAATCTAAACTTGTGTATGATATACGGATACGAAGGTATTTCTCAAGTTGTCAAGTCTGCGTTATAGGAATTCAAGATCGGGAATATTTCAGTCAATCAAAGCGGCGGCGCTTGGTTTCGGTGCCTTTCGTTAAACCTCATATTCTCGTGTAAGAAATATGGTTATACAGATAAGTCTTAAGTTGTGTCAAGTTTCTGGGCTTCCGCCGCCTCAAGATGGAGAAAATATCAATCAATGAATCAAATCGCTGCCACTTGGTCTCGATGCATTTAGTTTAAACTCCATATTCTGCACTCGTGTACGACGTACAAATCATTGTGCACCGGGTATCCACGTTTGCGGTCGTATGACATTCAGCAGTGAATCCGATCGACATCAGAACGCATGTCATGAATCGAGGAGAGCGCAAAACGACTCCCTTGCAGCGCTGGGCCAGCCACTCGCACGCACAACTTTGAGAGGTGCAATCGGATCCAGTCAACATCCATCGAGTACGGATTCATACATACCAACACCCAGCAACACGTTACAGTCTGGAGTCTGGACAGCGAGTGGCAGTCACGGAGCGGAGACGAGGGCGAACTTGTTCTAGCGCAAAGTAGTTGTCGCCAGCCTGGACCTGCCGACTGACCGAGCGGGCTGACAACAGCTGCATCCCATAGGCACACGCGCCTCGCACTCAGAGTCAAACCTACGACTTTCCGCACGGAGTTCGAAGACTGCATCTCGAGTCATAGAGGCCCTGATTGCAAAAGTCTAGAAGAATTCCGCCAGTGAAAACAAATCAGAGACTGCACGGTTTCCAACCTGTTCAAGCCTTCCATAAGGGAGGGAGGGAGGGAGGGAGGTGTGGATGGATGGATTCAGCGGTGGATCGAGTCCGCTTAATTGGTCGGGTTTCGATAAGTAGAGTAAACAAATTACGCCGCCCATGGAACCTGCAGAGCCGAGGAGCAGCCATTTGGAGGCTGCGGGCAGGACCGGCGCAGGAGCAAGAGAAAGGCGGATCAGGGACAGCGAAGAGGCAGGATTTGTTTCCTTGCGCCGAACGAAAGGAAAAGAAAAGAGAAGAGAAGAGAAGGATAGCTGCTTTTTTTTCTCTGTCGTAAGCGGCGAGGAAGTTGTACAGCCCAAGAGCTGATTAGACCCGAATGACTCAGATTCCTCTACTGTCTTTGCCTAAGCGTCCGTGGAAACCCTACCTGCGAAAAGCGATCGACCAGGCTGGCTGGCTGTCATGGAAAGTCGTTGTTGACATGAACGAATGCAAAGCTTTTGCGACCACGAAGCTCGGTACGCCATGTCTTTGATGTTGCCTGGCCACAACAGCCCCTGCTGCAGCCACGCAGGTTCTGTGTCCGGTACTACCACTGGTCAGACCAAACGGCGTGCACTGGAGGCTCCAGATTCTCACGCCGAGGCCTTGGCAGCCATCCTCTATCTAGCCAAAGTGGACTTAGTTAAAAGCGTTGATAATGTTGGGAATCTCGCCTGAGTAAAGCCATGGCGGTGATGGACAGAGCAAACAATCTTCTGCTGACAGCGATTTTCTCCATCGCAAAACTGTCGCCAAAACTCTCACGTGGGCCTTATCACCCATTGTGCAGCACCAGGGGGAAAACAGCAGCTTATTGCTTCCGACAGGTGTGAGAATTGTCTCCGTAATGGATCCCTCGAAGGAAGCTTGGCCAGTTTCAAGACTAGTGGAGCAATTTCACCGGAGATTTTCAGAACCTCGAAATTCAAACCTTAATTTTGAAACAGGGGAAGTATACAAACTCTGGATCCGAATCTTGCTTAATCAAGGAATATATTGAGCAGCGGCTGTACATGACATGAACTAGTATCGTTCGTGCGCGTGGACGGGTGCAGTTGAGGGGCAGAAGCCCGTGAACTGCTCACCGAGGGAGAATAGTCCGGAATCTCCTGTTCCTCGAATCGTACGTTTGGATGGCGAAATGTAGGGATCAGATTAAGAAATGGAAGGTAGGATCGTGAAACCATGACATGAGAGGCAAGGGAGGGCAGGGAGGGGCAGGACAGGGCAATGCGATCGGTATGCACTACTGTGCATAGCGATCGTATGGAATGGACGCATAAGTGCAGATTGCGACGAGCAGCCAGACTGCAACGTCCACATTAAAGTCTCAAGTGGCAGGGCCGAACTGCAATTTGACGACGATCACGAGTCTGCATAGATCCATCGATGCAGAAGGTGAGCTGTCCTGTCGGGCCGAGCCGCTCAACTGGAGGCAGGCGGCCTACCATCCATCGTTGTCCACATCAACCTGTGTGCGAAATGTCCTCTTCATCAAAGTTCTTCCACCCCGTTTGGTGAAGATGGCCAGCGAATCCCGTCAATGTCGTCAACTTTGCACCGTTTCCATCAATGTTCCATTACGTATCGTGAGAAGCGTTGAACTCGGCCATAATAGTCGATACCATTCGTAAAACGCGAGCGTGTCCGAGAATTCAGTTCCTTTCTGGACGAAACGGTATTTTCCAATCTGATGCAATAATGAGAAGCTCGTGACAGTGCAGGATACGAGTTGTGAAATGCTGAGCACACATGCGAATCCTGTGACTGGAAAACCCCAGCAGAAAGAACATCCTCTGCCGATCTAATAAAGTCCAGCACTTTTATAAGCCTGGACGGATTTGGGCATGCTGGCCGGGCAGCTCGAAGGTTTCTGTCCTAAGCAGCAGATTTGTGCGTTACATGTCACAGCACAATCCCCGCATGATCGGAAATCATCCTTCGATCGTAAGGACCGAGCCGGGAATAGAAACCAGGGCATGTCCTGTATGGGGAGGGTACTTTACGCGCCTCCATGTGAAGTTCAGTGTCCTGTTTGAATTAGTTCATGGCCTTCCCAGATCCAAATCCTGCTGGATGGCACATGTTTATGAAGATTTTGTGAGCTTGAACATGCGCACCGCCGGGAAGTGAGAACTAGGCAGTGTCTCGGGCAAATGGAATGAGAGGAAGGTCTCAACCCGAAGCTGACGGCAGAGGAAAGGTCCTCTTTGACCTACCAAATAAGAATTTTCCAAATCCGTCATGTCAATCATATTCCAATCATTGTCATTTGTGTCACACGCTATTATCGTGCCGATTACGTTTGAGGGGCCGAGAGAGCGAGATGCGTCATGTAACGGCCATAATAGAACGAGGAATCGCTTAGGTCGAGGGCAGCTCGCGCATCTGACCTCATCTCGCAGTCTCGCGTGACATCTGTAAAGACGCAAAAGGTGCCTCATGTTTTACGGCACGGAACTGACGTTGACGGAGACAGCACGAAGTGCTGTTGCCGTCACATGCCTTAATCTTCCATGAAAGGATCGGCAGTGAGCTCGCTCCGACTCAGAACCTGTTCACCTCGCGAAATTGGAAATTCCAGATCGACCTCAAGACCGAAGATTTGTACCGTCTGTGCAGACTGGTCAGAGCTTACGACAGGGAGGGAACGAGAATTTGGGACCTGGGGGAGACATTTGTCGACATCTGTGACCGCCGGTAGTCACTTGAGAGTACATGGCATGCGAGTCACATCAGGCGCTTGGGTCGTCTTGCGAGCATACCCAGTCAAACGCTAGGACACCACAGAAATTCAGTCGTTCGAGTGACTGAGTGCCCCTGCGCTCGACACCTCGAAACGTAACTACCTTGATGACAACAAGTCCCAACGAACGAAAGCGAATTCCACCATAAATCCAGCCGAGGTTGCAAGTTACGCCATGCCACCTTCGAACCACTTGCTCTCGTCAAACCTTACGAGTCAAACTGGCTCTTGACCTTAGACTGCTTTCACATGACGGAAGTACGAACGTAACCGTCTTCCACAGCTTCGGCCCCCGCTAACAACTTGGGAGCTCACCACGGCCAAACACTTCCTCCTCCGCGCCAAAATCTGAACACAACAGCCTCCTTAAAAGGTCACATGGAGAAATCGTCAGTACGAACATCACGATGTAAAACGCAGGAGGATTCCAAGCTTCATCCGAGGTCGTCGATATCTCCCTCTCCCTCCCTCTCACAGCCTTCCTACACACGAGGGACGTTCCCTGCACCTTCGCCAACTCGACTCTACGCATGACGGAGCTGCCAATGAAACAACCATCTGATTTTCCTCATCAGAGGAATCGGCAGTTGCACAGATTGAACGGTTTAGGCTTCAATTTCAAGGGGAGCAGTCCCACATGATCACACGTCTATTTACACTCGCAACTTTCTGGGCTTTCCTCGGAGGATCGTTTCACATTAGATTGACCGAAAAGGACGACATTCATTGTTCAGCCGAGTACGTCAACAAGGAGCAAGTACCATCTGCGGGTGAAGGTACAGCAGCTATAAAACTGTGGTACAGCACAAGATTCAGTGAATGGGGATGAAGAGTACCAGTTCGCCAGTTTACTTTAGTCGATACTTATGAGGTCTAGACCAGCATGCCGGTAAATACTGTAAAAATCCGCAGAGCAACTCTGACACTCTCATTTGCGTGTCCTAGTCATCGTAGGAGCCTTTCCTGCAGATGGTAAGTCCTTCGATTTTGAGTCTAGCCTGTAACGTAAATCAGCCTTGCACCCGTGCCCTGAATAACATGACGAGGACAAATGGCCTGTGGCTTATGGCTTGGACGGGAAGAGACTCCATTGCGGAGCAACCAAATCATCTAACGAGTGGTGTTTCCCCAACCCGGGGAAACACCACTCGTTATCTGCAGAAATATCCAGAGATATCCATTTCTGCAGGTAACGAAAGGTGTTGCCCCAGGTGGTGAATAACAGCTGACAGGTGAACTGGACCCCATGGCAACCCAGATACGATCGGAAGGAAAAAACTAGTTCTAGGTTTCAAGATGCGAGATACTTGCAATGGATACAAATTCCTCTTTTTCCCCATACAAGCAGTGATGTGCTCATGCTTTTGACGCCTGCAGAGTGTCTTTGATCCTTCCTATGATTTGAGGGAGCACGACTCCAAACGGTGGTACCATAGTTCAAAGGTGGCCGGTCTGAGTAGAAAGGTAGGTGCAGGAACACAGGGTCGAATACCCATCCGTACCAGAGCTCGATCGGTGTTGAAATAGCGCCTAGAATTTTCTGTAACGACACCATGGCATTCCACGAACAATACTTGCAACACTTTTCATACTCGCCATAAAGCTGTTCGGTAAAGATGTTCAATAATTATCTGTACGAATTCGTACAGATTTCAGATTCGTACGTTACAATCGCAGACTTACAGGTTGCAAAAAAGCGTTGCATCCCTCCTTTTGATGTGGCGATGGTGATGTACCCGCTGGGGGCGAGCGTCTCACCCAATAGAGTCGTAGTCGAAGCTGGAGAGAACTGACCCACAAGGTCCACAGCTCATGAATGAGGTGCACTGTGATCATTCAATTCATCCATGTCCGGTCTTCCCACAGGCTTGTGTCCACCCCACTTACCCCCTCACCTCAAAGAGGCACGAACCGCATGCGAGGAGGAACAACACTAACGACACACTCGAGCATTTAATTTGCCGATTGAGTAAGGATTGGTCGCTCGCAGGACGGATGTCTTGGATTGTCATGTAAAAAGCATGGTTGGAACCCATGAGTGATCGCCATGAACGGAGTATGGATGAGGTAGATGAGGAAGTGAGAAAGCACCAGAGGTCCATCGACACTCTGATTGACTTCCAGAAGACGGGTCCATAATTCGCAGGTGCCTCAGAGGAAAGAGTACTACGGTACTCACTAACTTCGAAGAATGAGTGGACTTTAGATGATCACTCGATCAATTTGACGAGACCCGTGAGTTGCAACTCGCACTGAAACACGTTGTGACGTCACTGGAATCTCTCGTTGACACTTTCCTCGACTACGTCATCCTCCGGGAAAGTTAATGGACTATGTGAATTTGGGAATTAGTTTGAGAGCCTGAATTCCGTGATCTGCCTGTCATCGGAAAGCCGGAAATCGATTTGCCTTACGGAACTATCCATCATCTTCCAGATCAATGTAGCCGCTCGCTTTATCTATTCCAACTTGGCACATATGGTACAATCATGACATCAGCCTAATCAGCCTCATCAGCCTCACATAATTCACGTTGAAAATCTTCGCTTGGGGGCCGGCTGACCAAAAAAAAGACGGATCGTCCGGAAGTCTTAACATATTCGACATCGACGGCCCGAAATCTGTATGAGCTTGCTACGCAAATTCGGGCAAGGGCATCGAGCTAGAGGGAAGAAATCCCGAAAAGGACGACAAGGGGGAAAATAGCGAGACGGACGCAGGACAAGAAGTGTACCACAGTGATATATGTTTATTAGATACATAATCAGCCCGCGGTCGGTGTAGGTGTAGCAGTTCTTGCGCTAACAAAAATCAGCATACTCTCTCTTTTTAGGCAAAACTCTTTTTTCTCGTTTTCTTCGTCAAACCGGAGCTGCACACTTCCGTCTGTCTGTCTACATGGTAAGGCACTAGATATGGTGCGCACGGACCAGGGAGAATTCTTCTCTCAAAGGTCCTGTGGCGCACGTCGCACCTTATTACTCTTGACTCGGACGAGCCAGAAGCTGAATCCAGTTCACACTGACCTATACTCAGCTGTGCAGAGAGAAACTTGCATTTCTCGCAGTCGGTTGCTAAACCTATATACAGAGCTCTTTCTCCTGTCGTCGTTGGCCAGCGAAAGCCCTCACACCACACCCCGCGGGGTGCTCTCCTCTCCTGGGAAGAAAGAGTCGGGATGATCGCCCGATCGCGCGTCGAGTCCTTTGTCGAGTCTATATTCTAGCTGCAACTACATGTACATGGAAACATATGTTACAGGATAGTACTGTAAGAGCCAGTACCTCTTCTCAGCGAGAGGAGAGCCATAAGTGAGGACGCTGTCTCTCGAAACTCTCCCCTACAGATCCCTCACCATATGATCACCGATACACTCCAGCAGTCCCCAAAAAAAGAAGAAAGAAACACCAAGACCCATCTGAGCTCCCAGGCGCTGGCTGCACGGAGGGAATCATGGTGGTAGACGATACTTCCACGTCTGAGTAGTAGTACTTCACGAGCGGAGCCGAACGATAAGTGTGATGGAACTCCCAATCAGCATTGTATCCATGTAGACCCGTGATAATTCAGATCCAAAATTGACTCACTGGCGTAGAGACACGAATGCCTGCGGCTGCCTCAGGCGGTTCACCAGCGCGCTGAATGCGTGCGACAGGTCGAACCACTTGAGGATGGGGCAGTAGCCTACGCAGTCGGCAAAAGTGAATCGGAAGGTGTTCCGTGGAGGCGTCATCGTCGTCGACACTGAGGTCTGCCTGGTGAACTTCAGCCAGCATCTGGTGAAGATGTTTCCTTGCTGTTGATTCCTTTCCGCCACAGAGGACTGTAACCATACATGCGCAGCTTTCTCCAGCAATCGAGTCTTGGGAGTGCGGTTAGGGTTGTCGTTCAGCCAGAATGCTGGTTCCTCTATTTCTAAAAAGTTCATATAGCTTCTTTTTCTTCTTTCCGGAGGGATAATATCACGCAGGCTCGTGTACGCCGGCTGTTCTCTCTCGAAGCAAGCCAGGTCACCGAGGCCCCGTAATTCGGTAGCCATGTAGAGCCCTCTCTGTTTGCAGCTGTCAGGCCCCGTTATGCTCGACCATGGGAAGAGGGCGCACAACCGCCTCAGACTCGTCTTCATCGACGGAACCGATAGATCGTGTTTCTGGAAGAGAGCAAATGCCAAGGTCAGCTTTTCATCGCACGGAATCCGAGCTTCTGCAGCCCTCCCGATGGCCACGTTCATGCTGAACGACCCTCGAGATCGCAAGCCAAGCCAACTTACAATCTTTTCTTTTTTTGGTTTTTTTTTTGGTAAAGAGACGACAGAATTCGAGCAAATTCTCGATGTCCCGAGACCTCGACCCGACTCTAGCTCATGTGCGACGCACAGGAGGGAACTGGACTCAGACAGAGACCGCCAGAAAGCTTGAGACGAACCGTCCTTTCATCATCATTGCATTGATTCAGTTCCTGCCATTAGCGCGCAAGGGGATGGATGCGGAGGACTGACCTGCTCAGAATTCAATGCCACCCCAACGCTCCAAACAGGTAGAGAGATTTTCGTTGTTGTCAGAGCTTCCACTCTTCGGCAAAGATCACCGCCCGTCGCGCCAGGGAGCGCACTGCTCCCAGTTTACCGTGAACAGTCGTCGTAGGTTTTCGGGTGCAATTAGAAGACATTGTCTCTCGATGGCGATCGCGCTGTTGAAGGGCGGCGACGAGGCGCTGATCACGTGAAACTGAGGGGTACAGACGCTAGAAACCAGACATTTGTCTCGGCCGGATTGCTAACGTGAAGCGGCTGCAAATGGCACGACTGAGAACGGGCACGAAATCTCGACAAATGGCGACCAAGGATGATGATATGGTGCCAATCAACGCCAGATATTCAGACGCTGATGCTGATGAAGCTCGTCTGTGGATCTTCTTCCTCTTCGTCTCCTCGTTCGTCGTGGCGAAACTCGCCTGCCAATTCGCGGCGAGGTGCAGCAGGTGCAGCGGTGTGACGAGCCTTTCCTGTCGTCCCGTTGCGTTCCGTTCCGTGAGCTCCTTTGATTGCGCGGTGTCCGTGCTCTACCGTCGTCAGTCGGTCCGAGTTCTACTGGGGCAAGAAAGGCAAAATCCTACGTCAAATCAAATTCCACACAAAACCGAGGTGGGAAACTATCTTCGAGAATAGAGCTTTTCCTCCTGCGGAGACTTGTAGAGCTCTATGGGGAGTGCGGCCCTTCGGCTGCGGAGGGAAGGAGAGGAGGAGAGAGATGTGAATGATCGTTCGCTGTTGTTGTGAATCTGGCACCCTCTGCTCTGACCATATGAGCTAGTGCTGCTGGACCAGATCGGTCCCTGCCCTGAGGCTCGCACCAGCTACAGATCAGATCTACACCCCCGCCCCACCCCACCCCACCCCACCTCGTCCGATACCGCCGATGATGCTTCTACTCCTCCTCCTCCTCTCCCTCCCTCCCCCTTACTTTACTCCCCAGGATACAATAGTGCTGTGTACAATAGCGCCGGTCATACGAGCGCGTGGGACGCAAGGCGAGGCGTGATCTAAAGGCAAGAGCTAAAGAGGTGCGGAAGGCAAGGCGTGCTGCTACTGCGATTCAATGCGGCCAGTCCAGTCCAGTCCGGTCCAATCCTGCGAGCTGCTGCTGCTGATGCTTCGTCGCCGTCGGTTTACGCGGAGAGAGCTTGCCGAGTTCTGTGGTGGCTCCAATACATACTCGCCCATCTGTAACTGCGATCTACTCGTCGTCGAGAGAGCAGAACAAGCCCGACTGCCTTCTCGCCAGGCGCATAAGAGCACATCTCCCGGCAAATGCTTCCCGGGAAAATCATTCCCGGGCCCGCCTCCTTCCGCGACCTTTCTCACCACCCCCCCACCCCCCCCCCCCCCCCCCCCCCGGTGCTGCCCGTCGTCGCCGGACTGGGTGACCGGGTGCCACGCGCACCCTCGCTCGCCCGTCTTCCGGGGCCTCCCCTATCGGCGGGCTTCCCCTCTACGCCGTACCGGCTCGCCCTCTAACGGCCCCCATTAAGAGGACGAAACCTGGGATGATTTGCGCGCCCACCGGCAGATGGCGGAGGCGCTCCTGTCCGAAAGTCTCCGGACCCTCCTGCCCGGTCGCCCCACCGGCTCCAGGGCTACTGCATGTATTATACGGTCCTCCGCATACTTTTCGCCCCGATAGGGCCAGCCATTAATTAGCCCTACCAGAACTACAGCTTTTGTTCTTCCTTTCGGTCTTTGACCGGGGTGGTAAAAGCGCAAGGCATACGTCGTATGCTCTCGTATAGATAGCGACGGTTCTCCTGTACACGGGAAGACCGATTCTCTTCGAAAGCTGTAGCCCGGGGCCCGGGGCCGGAGATATCAAATAACAATAGATGACAATCATGCGGACGGAGGACCGATGGAGCCTGAGCCTCGCCTCAGTTCCGAAGGCCTAGGAAACGGCCTGGGGCTTTCTCCCGTCCGTCGTATGCGAAAGATACGACCAAAGGGAAAGAAGTCGGCGCGAGAGGCAGAAGAACGCGATATTTGCCGACCATGGTAGCGCCCGAAAATCGCGAGCGGAAGATTTGCCACCTCCACCGAAGCTCGGGAAGCGGGGGGTGAAAGTCTCCCCGGGTAAAAAAAGGTGGGAATCCTGGGGCGCAGTGCCGAGAGTCTGATACCGTGCCAGGCCGTAGCCCGGTCCAGGATCATCCACGTGGTCTGCGAAGAGGCCAGAGACAAGCAGGCGAGCGCTGGGCCCCACGCAAATTTGCCCTCCTGGCCCACTTCCAGTAGACGACAGGCCATCACCATGAGGCATTCTCTCTGTCGCGGGCGATAAGAATACTCCCCCGGGCAGCCCGCGACATCCCCGCTGGCACGCAAAGCGGAAACAACAAACTCGACTTCAATTCAATGGACGTGGTTGCCTGCCACGTCGTCGAACGAGCTCGAGAAATCCCAGCCCCGGTGAGAAAGTATGTTCACCCCTGCGGTGGGCCCGGGCTGCCCACGTGAATCGCAGAGCCACTCTGACTCGAGTCCACCATTTGTCCGGGGCCAGTTGGGCACTCTACTCGGCAAAATAACCCAGTGGGTTACCGGCTACCGGGTTCGCCCCCTCCGCACCGCTCCGCTCCGCTCTCCCCAACTTGCCCCTCTCTGGTGTTTTGCGCCTGTTGCCCGCCTCGGCCCGAGCCTGACAACGTCCTCGAGTACCCGCCCCCCTGTATACTCACCGATCTCCCCACAGTGTAACTCCTGGCATGCAGGTGCAGAACTTACCTGCCACTAGGCCCCCTGGTCCTAGCTTCCTCCAACTCAGTGAAAGGCTGGACGTGATCGGTCGACGGTCCCATTGTGGCCGAGCGCTCACAGTAAGACTGCTTATTACTGCTAATCGACAGTTTGATAAACACGAATCGTCGCACTCGAAGAAACCTTCTCGGACATCTTCAGATCATCGTCGACTTTGCGTATGCGGAGAACATCGAGCATGCTGTTGCTTGGACGACTTCCAGGTACAACGCAGACCATCGCCACCCAAGGAACCTCCGTTCGCTAACATGCAGCTTCGGAAAGCTAATCCCGTTGTGCCACCGCATTTACGGGAATCGCGGGCTTTCTCTAAATAACCCAGAGACCGTGGACGCCATCGAGCTAGCTGCTTCGCGCAAGGCAAGCAGACGGAGCACGGAGGGCGTCTGTTGCCACAATTTTTACACAACGCTTTGTCGCGTCACGGCCAGAGAGCCAGGCCCGGGTTGCAGTAACAGTGAAACCAAGCGCGAGGGGCTGGACACAGTCGTTCGGCACAGTGTTTACTTTCCTTGTCACGCCAAAGCGTGTTAAGATACCGAAATCGATGTGAAGGTGACGCTGAAAGCTTCCATATATGACGAGGTTGGTGCCGCGAACAAAATATCCACCTTAGTTAATGATTTCTCCCACGGATGAATTAGCAGACAGTGCATGTGTGAGTTGCCCTGCTCATATAAAATCCCCCCATGTCACTATGCGCATATGGCCACTCGAAGGATCTCCTTCGTAATTGGAGTAAAGTTCCGTGAACTCGATCCACGACCGGCGAAGTCAGGGAAGAATAATCTAGGTTCATTAGGCGAGTCAAACATGTGGAAGAATACGAATCGCCATAATTTTCCTGACTGATGGAGTCCATAATAGAACAAGCTAGTGTATTTTATTCCTCGTCATAAAATTCAGGATATAATATAACAGCGAGAACGTCTTCGCATTTGGAGGTCGGCTAGATCCAGATCGGTCAGAGGTCGGGTTTTGGAGCTTTGTGTATGTCCCAGTTGTGCTATATTCCCTGAGCACGCTGAGAAAGCATACCCATATTTGACAGATTTTGTCCACACCTCTATGAAAGTCCGGAGCAAATTTAACGAATTTCAGATAAATCTTGCAAGTATTTCGCTATGTTAGAAGCGTCGCCGAACAATTGGAAAGGATATTATATGGATGTCCGAAGCGAAAGATGCCCGAGAAGTACCATTCGTACCTTTTCGCTCTTTCTTGCCTGTCTTCTCACGCACCGAGAAACAAGGCACCTTTCGGCTGGTTGAGGTGGATCGTCAGTTAGATTAGACGCAGTTAATCGAGCACCTCTCTTATAGCCAGATTCTAACATCATTTGACTAGGAAGAAACGCAACAGGATTTCAAAGATACGCAATTGGCATCCACTTGCCAAAACACGAGCCTTGATTCACCTGGTTTTGTATTTCTAGTGTGACATACTGAACGGCGCAAAGCACATGTGATTGTAATGACTCACCGTCTCTCAGTCATCGACAAATTCTCTTATAACAAGACAAGGGACAATGATTTTTAAGTGGCTCCATATCAAATTTCCCGGAAAATATGTACAAAGATTGATGGAAAGCCTAGCGCTGAAAACAAACTGATCGCATATGCTTGAAGAGGATCCCCATTAGTTTCGAAAACTCGGCTGTGCCTGGGAGATATTTTATTAGCGAACGGCTCGGCAGACTTTGTGAAGACCGAGGTTCCTGTCAAGTCAAAACTGAGGGGAATGAGGGTGCAGACCTATTTAGAAAGAGCCTGAGGAAAGATCGATCTGTTGTGGAGCAAAATGGGGGGCATTCTGTGCGAGGGAGCACAAGAGGACAAACGTAAAATTACAAACCTCGGTAGGGGAAAGTACCTGAAGATCAACTGGAGGCTATTTGACAAACGCCGATCTCATGGAGGAATCATGTTCTACGGCCAGTGAAGAATTGTGAGGACGAGGAAGGCAACAGTATCTACACGCAATGCACGTCCAGGGGTAAGAGTAGTGCAGGAGAGCAACAGTACTCTTTCCAGCTCCCGTACTGTTGGAGCTGATTATTCTTGATTTACCATTGTTCGCCCTGGCATTCATTTACTATTCATGTAATCATATTGCAACAATACAGATCTCTGATTCGATGCTACTCGATCCTTTAGAAGAAATCGTATTCCATATCGCTTTGCACAGAAGTATTATTTCTTCACACTTGCGAAAAATACCTTTTCGTAGAGAGCAGATTCCAGTGATATACTCTGCACCGTCTGCCTTACCTAGTTCGCTGTGATCGATCCTCATACCTAGAACAGCACCAAATTCAATCTTTCAACCCATCCAGCATATCCAAGTCAATAGATGGATCGGCACGTTGGAAATTGTAATGCGCTCGATTTCGATATTTTAACCCTCGATGCTTAGAGAAGATTTATCATTTTGAACTTCGGTCCGCCATGTTAAGTGAGAATCTCCATTTCTATGTGATACGATAGCACGAATCCAGTTTAAAAAACATCCGGATATAATGGAATTACGTAACATGATGACATGTACCAAAAAACTGGAGTTTAGATTTATAACTTTTCGATCTACCAGCTCGATCATAGTTTATTCACCGCATGGGATAAAAGTGCTGGTCCTTATATGACATGGAGAGATGATTACTTTTTAGGAAGGCAGGAAATTTTCAATCATAAGGTAGGCAAGATTAAGAACCCGAAAAATTATCATTCTGCCATCAATGATGAATAGTGGGCTCACTAAAAGAGGTAATGGACTCTCTTCAATGCAAACTATATATTCTCGGCTAACAGCAAGCAGGTCTTCAACAAGCCATGTTGCTCTACGCTCTGGCTGGGACCCTCCGTCCCACTGATCATAATATTTTAACAAAAGGCCCACCCTTATGAGATTGTTGCTGAGTATCTTTGGTTCCACAAAATTGCGCATTACAGTTTAGCCAAAATTGAATTCGTCATCAATCATCTGCTCTACACTTTTGGATACCAACCAAAATCCATACCAAAAATATAAACAATTGACGGAGAATGAACAAAAAGCCGCACCCTGTTGACGTGTAGCCTTGTGTGGGACCTTAAAGATTCTAGAAACGATTGCGAAAGGCTTGCAGTAATCTTATTTAAACCAGATAAGGCAAAGTTGTTGTACATAGAATAATCATTGCGATGAGATTTAGAGATCATGATTTAGACATGTCAAGGCGTAAATTCCACTTCAACTCCTTATGCTATTCTTACGTACCAACTCCTCTGGCAGGTTAAAAAGGTGCGCAGATGACATAAACCGAAGAAGTTTCTGCAATTGAAGATGATCTCACAAGTCTGCGGACAGACGATGTTTAAGAGAATGTCTTAGGCGTCATCTTCTAATTAGCTGTACAAATGCTATGATAACATGTGCCTCCAACATGTAGCGAGTGAAAGTATAAATCAACGCTCACAAGGCTCCAGCCGTCTATGAACCTCTAAATCTACTATTGGATGTTCTCCTGGAAATTGACACACATCATCCCCAGCCAGCCGCTGGATTTCTCTCATTCCCCAGTATCTCTATTGCTTACAAATAAGAAAACAATCCTGCCTTCGTAAGAAACTAATCTCGTACGGCGATTGTTAAAACTGACCGTAATATCTTTTCAGCTTAGATGTGATTTCTGAGTTTAATCTCCAGTGGGGTAGGTGCGATTTAGACTGATTTAATTCGTAAATCTTTCCTCTTTGGTTACCAACAGAACATCTAAACTAGATAAATTGGATTTTTTTAACGTTAGTATCTTAAATGTAACCGAAAGCAATATATACATGAGACTTCATGATTCGGTAAAAACTGTACAGCAGGTTTTATCTGGCTCCCGACGGGAGCCTACTAGGCCCTCGTGAACGGCCATCAATCATCATCATTGCAATAGCTATTGTATCATGCATATCTGAAGAAAGCAGTGCTGCACTCATAATATTAAATTCTCCCTCTTATATTTTACATTTGCAATATAGATAAAGCCTCTCGCGAGTAAAGGGAAAGCTCAAGGTTTGGAATGACATGAACTACACTTTACCATCTCGCAGCATACTTTGACGCAGCAATGCATGAACACCAATATAATTCATGCTATCATGTTTGGAGTTTGGTATAAAACTTCGTTCTGCTCTAGTCTCTCTTCAATGATTAGCACCTATTCCAGCTTCATTCGCACACACATCATTTTTCCCGCAAATAATAGAGACAGCAGGATTGAAACTATCCCAACGAACACATTTACTAAGGTACTGGCAAGTAAGCTACAACTTGGAAGCTTGGATCATGTGACCATGCCACATGGGCTTCATGTTTTCTTGCAGCGTTTCCACCTTCACAAGCCAGAACTTGTGCATAGTTCAAGGAACTTCGTCCACTGTGTTCTGATTCAGTTCCTTATCAAGTGCTCATCCTAAATGAATAAATTTGAGTTTCTTAGATGTTTATGGAGGAAGTATCTTTCTTCCCCATTGTTTAAATACCATGACGAAATACTCCAAGTTCTTTTACTTATTTGGGGATGAACAACTGTTAAAGGAAACGAAACAGGAATGTAATAGAGAAGTATGATTACGTGGATTCATACTTTTTATTCAACTTAGCTCATACATATGCATTATACAAACCCTTGCATTTGGATTTCAGTTAGTCTAACAAATGAACGTTTTGATAATCATTTGCTAGCCTTTTGCAATTCCTACGATCGTTTTGTATTGAAATCGGAATAATAATTTGAGTTAAAGTATCCTTCAATGTCTTTCTATGCATGTTTATCAAAAAATATTATTATATCGAAAAGATTATATAAAATTTAATATGTGTATGAAGATGAAGATAAATCTTTGGAAATAATTTCTTAAAAAAAATTTGAAATTTTTTTGGGATCCTATTTCTATACACAAATTTATAAATTTATAGATATTTTGTGTAGATTTTGCCTTGTTTTTAATACTTGACATTATCTACTTATTTTCTGAATAGATCAAAAACTAAAATTACATATGTAATTTTTTTATTATTGATAATGGAAAATTCATAAAGAATCATTATAATTTTGTAGTTTTAGATAATTAACACATAATAAGCAACGAAACATAGCTGGGTATATTTCGACATCTGCTTGAGGTTGCTAACTATTTTTACCTTCAATATAGATGTTTTTACTGTTGAAATTACGTTTTAACCCGTTGTGAAAATAATAATGAATAGGATCAGTACAATTACTACAATCAAGACCCAACTTTTCAGCCCTAATCAGTTTGAAATATCTAAACTTAATATTGCATGTAGGTGTATACCTACTCTCATCTTAACTGTGTGTCCAAGTTCGTCTAAGTATCTCAGTCCTTAAGTGCTCCCTAAGAATTTAATAATTCACAAACATAAATGAGAAAATTATTAAGTTGTTGATTTAGACCCTACTTTGTGTTCTTCTGCTTTCAATCATGCTTGCTACCAAAAACAGGTCGTTGTCAACATCTACATGTGTCTAGATGGTATACAATCAATGAAATGGTCCATTAATGTAGCTTTATGGATTGCACCTACTCTTTACACACGCTTCCAGCCTTCAAAGCTCAAGGTCACCACAATAGCCAAAAGGTTCTATCAGTGATCAACAGACAGCTCCCGGCGGCAGCATTACAGAGCATGTGCAATATGGACAGCGAACGCAAAGTTCAGAACGGAGATTTCTTCGGAATTGACCCCGTTTCTCCAGCTTCCTATTCTACTTTCAGCTTGCTTAGTGGAGTGCTCGTTGGCATTTTTATCTTCGTTTTTTAATTTCATCGTGTGCATCTAACTTCCGTTCATGGTTGACTCACACCGTTGGTACGCCTCTCATCGTCCTCCCCATCACAATCAGTTCTGTGAGTCGAATTTGTAGAATGTCGATTGACGGGATCCTCATGTTCAGACGAGCATGACTACTTGGTGAAACTCAGTTCCTCCTTCAACGGAATGTTACAAGAATGTTCTAGATTCCCTGACGCTACAACGTTCTCAGTCACAAAGGATGAAAGGGTGTACATATGTATACAACCCCATACTTCCAAGTTCTCCTTTAATTCGATCGAGCATCGGTCAGAGAATGGTTGAAACATTCTCTGACAAAAACTAGGACCGAAATCATGAATGTCACTCCGAGATATTCAGCATAGTATATTAACAGTAAGGGAGCCCAAAAAATCTTGCTCATTCCAGTGCGTGTTCTACGAGTCGTTTTTTAACAATTTCGCTTGTGACTCAGAAAAGACTCTTGTACTCGAGCACTTCCCCGAGAGCAACCGTACTGGGCGTAGTTGAGCACCGTCCACAGTTCAGATGTGGACGGTGCGTAGAGGCTGCGAGAACTCTGTATGACTCTGAACTGTCTGTCTCCGTGAACTGTCGACGAATGGCGTTGGCGTAGATCGTATGAAGATTTCTGACAGGTAGAAAGCAATAAAACCTTTATCATCCTTCGCTACGGGGTGGCATCGCCGTTTAATTTGACTGGAGTCAGCTGGAAAAGTGACCGGCCATATCTATCTTGCCCGCCGCTAGTCCGCAGATATTGTCAGCATCTCCCGACGACGGCAGGGATCAAATGGGCATGTGAAGCTGTGAATGTCTCGGCGCCTCGAAAGACGACGAGACGAAAATCACCCTGAAGTACAGAGCCTTCAGGGTCAGATTTACATCACGCACCATGCTCTGCTCTGTTCTGTTCTGCTCGTCCCTCCATACTGCCACAGGTTCTCGCTTTTCTCTACTCTGTCGCCGAGTTGGGCTAGTGTGATGTCTCTGTTCTATGACTCTGTCTGTGGAGGGAAGGACAAACGCCGCTTCCGTGGAGCTGTGAAATGTCGTCCCGCCTGGATAGCAAAAGATTTCTCCTACCATGAGTCCGAGATTAGTAGTGAGTAGTCAGTGACTCAAAAGGTTGGCATCTGCTTTGTTATCGCGTTTTTCAAGGTGGATACACTCACCGACGGGCCATTGGGGCTCCTTGACGCGCGCAGCCTCCGCTGCCTTCATGTAAGAAGCTGCTCGTGACCTTCGGAGCTGGAGGCCTTCACTTTCCGTCGAATTCGAGAACAGGATTCGGGCATTTTGCCTCATCCCGGCCAGAGTGTCATGCCGAGTGACCGAGTCCTTTCTATGTGGCCGTCAAAGTGGACGAGAGCACGACGCCGGCCAGAGGAAGTTTCTTTTCCAGGTCAGATGAGGCTTTTCCAGAATCTCCATGTTTTGCTCATGCTCCAAACATGCGGACAAAAGAATGTTTTTTTGTATGTCGACGTTTTTCGCCGACGACTTAATCCACCGGTTTCTCGCAACTCCCGTCACTGATTCATCGTTTTTTGAGAAAATCGTTTTCTCAGCTTTACCGGCAAGGAACTGCGACCCCGCGCTATCGTCGTTAACTAGGGCATGAATGATTGCGGCCAGCCCGATATAGCGAACGTAGTTGGATCTGTCGCTGCTGTTCTTCACAGTACGACTGCGGTGGTAACCGAGAAGCATCTTTGGAGATTCTCTCTGACCGGGAGGAAGAGTATCCTTCCTTTGCCGTCGGGCTGGTTTCGCCAGACCCGCCGGGACATGTTCTTTCATGGAGCTTTGCCCAGTCAGTCGCTACTTGTTCTTTACGGCGCCTGTTCTGAGGTACAGTGGGCCGAGAAGATGCCCAAGAGTTTGTCAGGGAACTTCCGGCAAGCGCCGATTTGTGAAGAACTTTCATTAATCTGTTGGCATCTGGAATGATAGGGGAGCTGTATCTCACCCAGCTTGCCTCGTAAATACGAGTAGAATTGTGGATGGATTGAAATACATGTACGTGAAACCATGGCTGTGAGACTGTGGAGAAATGACTCCGAAGGCTGGAGCCAGAAAGGTCTGCCAATAGGTACGTGGGTGTCAGCTTTTTGTCTAGCAGATATTAACTTCCAGGGAGCATTGATAACATCCGAAGAGTGCATTGAATTTAGAGACATCGGACCCCATGGAGCTCTAAAGGCAGAATGCCAAAGCAGCTGGATTTATCCCAGTGTCCTTTACAGTGTATCCATGGTTACATGCAGCTGCCGAGAATTGGAGATTCTCTGGCCAAACGAGCCTCTTTCCTGTCGAGAGTATTAATGATTACTGTAACCCAGACTGGAAACTGGCACAGAAGTAAAGTAAAGGTCATGAGAAGGATGAGCGTATTGGTCTGCGTCTGATAAAACATATCTGCTGCAGGATGACGTCCTCCTTGCCCCTAGTCGATTATTGGCAGCTGATAAGTGGTGGTCTGCTCTTCATTGTCACAGTTCGCAGGCCATTTCTTCCTTAGCGCAAGGCAAAGGACTGAAGCTCTTTCCACGGTCAGCAGGAGCTCCTTAGCTGCTAGAAAACCCACCGGTATCGGGCCAGTGGACTGCGCAGAGCTTCTCATTACAAGTCAGCCATCACAGCTAAAAGCTAAAGTTCCATGGATCTCCTCTCCGTTCTCTGCTCCTGCAAGCTGCTTCACTGAGTGTGAGTCAGCACATTTCTTCCCCTATTTTTATCAGATACGGAAGATCCCGCATTCTGGGCTTTCACAAGCTGCAAGCTACAAGATGCAGTGGGATCAATCCGCACGCACGAATCTTTCCAGTGCCACGAATCTTGTCTTAGCTGATCCACACATCGAGCAATTTCTTCGTTCATCCCTCTCGTATGCGTATGTCCCTGGCCTTCGAGCCATGGAAGTACCAACACGCCTCGCCAGGGCTCAAAAGCCAGATCTTGGCCAGGCCGCTGGCTGCTGGCCGCCCTTCCGGAATCGAAACAACAGTACAATGGCCACAATGGGCGAAGTGCATCACAACGAAGCTCCAACCTCAGAGCTGATCCAAAATAGCTTGTGCAGTCTCGTTGGCACAAGCTCCAGGCTGACCGATCCGAGGGCAACTTGGAAGGACAGGGATAATAGAGCATGGAGAGAGGAACTTCGGTCACGTGACGGCCTCCACTCCAACATCCGCACGGCGTGGCATATTGGTGAAATCAGGTGGATTCTGAGTCTCGAACCCTCCGAATGATCCACTTTCCTTCCACAAAAGTACAAGTCCCCGATAAAAATAGCGAGGCCCGTCATGATGGAGGGGGAACCGTGTCGCCATAAAGCCTTACCGCCCATAGCCCACACCCCCTCCTACCTCTCTACGCCCATAGCCCACACCCCCTCCTACCTCTCTACGTCCCTCACAACCGCATCTTGTGAAAGTCTCGAGTTCTCTCTTTCGGCCCAGGCATCAAATCGGACACGAAGCTGCACAATCTACGTGGACGGTGAACTCGGCCATGGGCACCGGCCACCCGAGTCGCCTCGTACAGTCCCCACTTCGCAAAGTGAGAAAACAGAGGAGGAGGACGAGGAGGAAGAAGAAGAAGAAGGAGAAGGTACAGGAAGTGGGCTGTAAAGGACTCGGTCTTCTCCACACACACTGACCATCGGAGCTGGATTCTTCTTTGCAACATGGATTCCTAATGCCTTACGGCCATCTGACAACATCTTTTCCCTTTCTATCCGGTGGTGGAATACAATTAATCAAAGATGTTTCCCTGCTGCATTGGGCGGCAGGCACTCTACACTCTGTGGATAATGCAGAGGGTGGCGTCAAAGGTCGAGTGAATTCTGCACTGGTCTCGTCTGGTCCAGGCTCAAGGTCAGGCTCATGTACCTCGATCGGTCTGTACTGTACTTAGCGCACTCTTTGCGCTACGTACAGTATGCGTAGACTCGGTGGACACGACTGCAGTCTCCACGACGTCGGTCTACTCCCAGAAGACGTGGTACGGGTTCTGCTCGCGGGGCTCTTGAGGACTATCGTACACAGTTGCCGGTTACACCGTGTTCCGACTCTTACGCCCAGTACTGTGGTCGTTTCAACTACTAGTACATAGTATCTGTCTGTTGTGCCGACTGTGTAGAGTGTGCTTCCTAGTGTGCCGAGGTTAGAGGCAGGCTGGTCGCTCTCATTTCACCACTGCCAGAATCCAGGAATTTAAAACTTGAGAGCCCCTTTCTGGACGTCCAATATTTCTCTTTGATACGTCGTCACATCGTGCACTGTTTTCTCGAAAAAGAGACTGAATCTCATCGAAATTCACGAGGAAAGTAATGGAGAATGATGTGAAGTGGAAATACGCATGTTTGCATCACGTATGCAAATATAGTATGCTCGAGGATAAGGTTTGACGATGCTTTGCGTCTCCTGTCGAGCCTTTGTCTCTCAAAAGTGTGAAGTGATGAAAGTGTAGTGTCTTCGTGACTCTCACTTACGCTTCTCCTGCTGGACGTCATGGTTTTCCACGATGGTGCGTGCCATGTTCGAGTCGGTCGACTGGTGTCCTAAAGCAAGTGATGTGTGGGCAAAACCTAAGGTTCTAAGGCCTGGAATTGTGGACCCCCGATGATGAAGAAAAAGTGGATCTCGGCCTGGAGGCTCATTTTCCATCATGCGAAATGAGCAGCCTGCTGGCACCATACACTTGTGTTCAGAGTGTGTTGAACTGAAAAAACGGCGTGTGCAAAATGGCTGAGGACCGGGGCGACACATGAGATCGCTGTCTTTATGTGAGCTGTGGTAGTATCTCGGACTTCATATAACCTTCTCACACCACAAGCTCCGGTCTGTATTCCGGTCAACAAGTCGGTGGTGTCGGGGATGGCTTGAGGTGGAAATTCATTTCAAAATTCCGCGTCAATGACGTTGATTTAGTGCCTTCAAATATCTGTCCTGGATGGTCCTTTGACTTTCTCTGTACGAGCTGATTTGCAAAAGGTTTATGCAGAAGCTTCCGTGCGTTTTTCTCATGATCGTACTACTAATATGGACTCAGTACGCACAAAACTTGATTAACACATTCTTCACCTGAATCACGACCGAGCATGCACATGAGTCATCAACAATTAGTTGTTACAGCCTGGTACTGTCACTAACTCCAAACTATTGTACGCTTTGTTAGCATCTAAGCCATAAAATGCCACACTTATGCCGATGCAGATGATGGGCTTCGACGGCCCTCTCTTCGCTTTTCAGAACTTACCCGGATGCAAAACCTTGCTGTAAATCAATGTTGGGAGATGCGCAAAAAAAATTTCACGACATCGTACAGCATGTCAGCACAGCGTCTTTTACTAGAAATAATCTCGAATGCTTTTTCGCAACCACGATGGCGTGCGTGCGAAATCCACCGGGGTGATGGATAAAGGGACGAAGGATGCACTCCTCCTATGCCTGTGGAATGCTCGTTCCTTGTGGGGCCTAACAACAAGGCAAAATTAAAATGGGACACTCATTTTCAAATATGTATCCCTTTATGTTGCAGACCTGATACTAAGGCATTGTGTGCCACAAGCTTGTCTTTCTCCTCCATGTTTGCGTGTAAAGCTGCCAAAGTGTCGAATGACTAACATAGTATCGTCTTTTAGTCTTGTGGTATAGAACTGGTTACTTGTTGGGACGACCTAGACGGAGAAGCGCTTATAATCTCTACATGTCGATTATGTCAAAAAGCAAAATGCAAGAAAGGGGTTTCAGATCTATTTCAGGCTCCGAGAACCAGAAACTTGTTCTCTAGTGTTCATGCGTGTGAATTTAAGTTGATGCAGTCCTAGCACATGAACGTAGCATCGAGTCACCGACTACTCTTTTCGTGGTCATAGGATTGATGAACGTTTACTTTTGAGTCATAATTGTCATGCCATACCACGACTCGTTGAGCTCGTAGATGGCATCTGAAAGTTGCACATCTGTATTCAGATGCAGTGTTGGGGTCGCACATTGCAATGCGCACCGTAAGCCAAGCTGTAGGAACCTACTTTAGGCGGCATAGACTTTGATGCAACCTAACGCCAGAAATGATGAATCTTAATGTTTCTTCCTTCCTGCAGCGTTGAAATGATTTCTTTTCCATGTGGTTTGTGCTCCTGGTTTGTCATCTTCATGTTTGCAATCGGTCTGGTTGAGTCAAAGGGGTCTCCCTTGTTCCGCATCTCACCGTGATATTTCCACAATATCTTCACGAGCCCACTTTGTCGAAGAGGTGGCGTGTGTCGGAGTTGAATGCTTCGACACTTTGGCCTTTGTAAAAGGGTTGTAATCTCAAACGTCATGATAGCTTCAAAAAAGCTACTGTATATTGTATAATTGATATCCTTTCGTAATTCCAGAGTGGATATCTATACATTGAAATACTATGAGACTGCAATTTATGGTACGTCACACGCTTATGACTTATAGTGTGATATATATGGACAGAGACAAATAGAATACTTGATGTTGCTACATAAGTTCATAATCTATTGATAGCATGCAATCAATTTCTTCTTGAATATTTGTGATGGATACACATAATATAGTGAGTATACAAAATTACCGGAGCTTTGTACATGATCAACAGAATCATATACAAAGAAAATGATTAACAAAATTGATCCAATTCTGAATAATTTATTCATAAAATATCAAATTAATTTTTTTAATCAATATACGAAGAAAGAAATTTTTTTCCAATATTTAAAAATCTGAAAGCTATCAAGAAATAAATATTTTTTGTTTTTAGTCTATCCAAATTTTTTACGATTTAGTTAAATTTTTTTAAAAATTCAAATGGAAATTTTTATACCTAAAAATTCATTTATAGTCACAAATTCATTTTTTCTTGAATCTAGTTTATAGATGTATACATTGAATTATAAATCTTTTAAACTCAGCATTATTTCCCATGTGTATGATGTTTGAGATTATAATATAAATTTTTAAATAGACACATCAATTTCAGGTGAATTATTCCTAGTTTAATTTTAAAATTGAAAATTAGAAAGAAAAAAATATAATTATCATGAATAAATAAATATTAGAAAAATATAAAATTCAATTCCAAAATATTTCGAGTTTTTTAAAATGCTATGAGTATGATGAAAACGTATCTGTACATAATTTATTTTTTTAAAAGATCCATCTGAAAACTCATAATCTTTTTACTTTTTGAGCATTAACATTTTACTGACTACTTTTGATTATTTAGTTTATGTTAAGTATTTGAAATGATTATGAGATAAAATTTATATAACTTACATATACTTTTCATTTCAGAAATTGACATGATTTATTATGGTTATAAAACTAAAATTTCTAAGTCTATATAGTAATTTTGATTTTAATTATGAAAATATAAAATTAAATTAGTTGTGAGAACTCTTTATTTTATAATCAATCACAATTCAAAATTTTATTATTATTATTTTATTCTACTCTTATTTTTATTTCAATTTCAAAAATTTTAATTCGAATGAATTTTTTTTCAATGATATAAGAATGTTTTATGATATTAAATTTTTTATCCAATAATAAATGACGTCATAATAAATTTTGAAAGGATAAGAAAATTATATAAAAGTAATAATAATTCACACCCATATAAAAAAATTTCAATGGAAATTTTTTATATTGACATGCTTTTCATTTCTCATATATATATAATTTATTTTTCAAAATTCAAAATTAAAACATCCGAAAAAATATTACTTAAGTTAGATTGATGTGATATTTGATGTTTGTTTTTAGATATAGGTACTTATGTATTTTGTGAGCTTTTATTTTTCATTTGATTTCAAAATATAATAATGTATGTATGCAATTTTTGTTGTCTTGAGGTGTTCATTTTTAATATGTTGATAATAGCAAACGTAGCCATATGAAAGAAGAAAGCATACTTTTTTTCTATTCAAAGATTCAAGACTTGGACTTTCACATATTAATTAGGTTCTTGAACAATGATTATGCAATCAATTGCTACAACTTCATCAAATTTACAAAATTATTGAATGATTCTTATTATGAGCACTGTTATTATATATCTTTGAAGTATACAATAACAGACCTTACGAGTAAACATTGATCCTTAAAATCACGGAACTTTATTATAAAAAAATTATAACTATCAAAGACACAACAACACGTCCAAAAAAGTAAATTCACATGTGTTAGAATTTTAACCAAATCAAACATTATGTGAATCTCATTTGCCAAGATTGATGCATCATTATTGGCATGACTTCAATAATAACAATGCTAACAAATTTTTACTTTCACCTGAACAAATAGTACTTGAATCCCTTACTTCAAGCCAATGCATATGATCTCAAACAATCAGATTTAAGTGCAATTATAGTATAAAAGTCCATCTTGCATTTGAGGTAAGTACGGTGCACTCATTCGTGTTAAGAAACTGTTTAATTTCTGGGATGGTTGTGGAATACCTTATAAGGTATTTGATTGACATTGTGGATTTCAAACTATACCATCAAAATGAAGTACATTGCCTTTTAGGGATTTTGCAACGCAAATTAGGATGAAAGATGTCTCCGACTGGCCCTCCACTCTGAAAAACATGTCTCGTAGACGTTAGATTCATATTTTGAAGATGCAAGTAACATTCAGATATTGCATGGTGTGTGAATAAAATGGAGTATACGGCCATTAGCCATTGCACAGATAAAGCAATTTTACTAAGACAACTTTGGCATTGCAAATTCGTGCAAGGAAAATCGACAAAAATCACGTACAACAATCAAAGATGCATAGATCTTGCAAAAAATCTCACTTGATATTCTCACATCAATCATATAAATGCACAAAATTAGTTCATTGATAAGAACAAGAGATTTGAATTATTGTCCAACATGAGGATATAATAGTAAATATGCTAAGTAAATCACTTGCAAAAAATAGGCATCAATAAACAAGGTTAGAATTAAGCCACAACATTATTCTAAATAGAGATTAATGTTATCTTATATTGATTGTAAGGCTTATGCTTAAAAAGCCATAGCCAGAAAATAAGCTATATAAGAAAAATAGAAGAGAGTATGAAACTATCCCACTCCAAAGATTGTTTATAAGCCTTTGTGTAATCTCATCTCTAGTTCCTACTACTTCTAAATGAATTCCCCTAGAGTAATTCTGAAAGTGCAATCATTATTGGATAACAAGGAGATATCTCATCGAAATTATTTCCGGTCATCATTGTTCAAAGTGAAATAAAATTCCGGACAGATAAATTATGAGAATTTTTCTACAGATTTGTAGTTCATACACGAGACTAATGGAGTTGGATTCCAATAAATTACAAACAAGGAGGGTGGGTATCTGAATATCGAAAAGTTAAGTCGACTTGAAAAAACTACAAAAATCTCAGATATTCGATGGTGGACCTGTATCCCTCATCCAAATCAGAGGCTTGTAATGACAGGGCATCCACCTGTTCTTATGTCAAATTTAACAAGATTCTTAGTTAGTATTTTCTTTTGAAAAAGGGACTAGAGATCTGAAATCTTATAATAGATATATCATTGAATGATAATGTTATTATGTCATATATATATATATATATATATATATATATATAAGGAGAGAGAGAGAGCGAGCTAGCTGGTAGGATTTGCTTCATTTACTAGAGAGAGGACATGTAGAGGTTTCTTTCAAAGAAAGGCACTGGTTACTCATTTTAGCGAACCTGCCGTTACATACTTAAATAAGTATAGAAGAATATATGTAACACGATTTCGAGAACGGCTCTTTTCGGCATCCTGAGTTTCCAGTTTTGGAGTGGTTGGAAAAAAAAAATCGTTTCCAGGACAAATGATTTGCTCTACATTTGGTATGTGGAACTTTCAATGGTACGGAGAATTCTATGAACACTTAAAATATGCAAAAGAATACATTGATGGACACTTTCAGCAACTAGCTCGTTCGAGTGCGTTGGGTCACAACAAGGAGTCTGGACAGTCTATAGTTTTCGATCATAAGTTCCCTCGTAGAGACAAAATATTAA